CCTGGAGTGCCGATGTCCTGCAGAGTTTAGCTGTAACCCTAATCAAACACACCTGAACAAGCTAATTAAGGTCTTCAAGATTACTAAGGCTACAGGCAGGTGAGTTTTTTCAGGGTTGGAGCTAAACTGCAGGACATTGGCACTCCAGGACCGACGTTGCCTACCCCTGAACTAAAGCATGCTGTGGGGGTAATTGAGAATGAATGGGGGAAAATCACATTAGAGGAGACAATGCCTTCATCACGATATGATTGGATATGACTGGCTATGTTCGGCTGTGATTGGTTTATGCAAAATCCTGTCTCTTGTGTTCATGCGCGTTCCACGTTTGGCATTAATGGGAAGACTCATTTAAAAAAGTAAGTAAACAACTCATACATTTAAATATAACCACTGTGTTACGTCAAAATAAGACTTAAAATGGTCTGAAAACTTGATCTGTGGGAGTTTTTAGTGAGTAATCAGCTTGTTGAAATTTAAAGTAAATCTCTGTCTGTATTTACTGAGCTTTGATGACTGACAAACCGAATAATTCAAAAATAGTTAAAAGTTAACTATTAAAAAGATAGCTGAACATAAGTTCACAAATAAAATATATAGTTTAAATTGTTACTGCCTTGAGTTCTTTTGGAATAAACGTGAAATGCTTAAAAATACTAACTTGATGAGATTCATACTTGGCTTTAATAAACAGAATATTGATTCATATTCTATAATATTGATGTAAAAAAACATATTTTTGTTGTTGTTTTCTGGTAGTGTAAGTAATGTTTATTTAACCAAGAACATGTGACTGAGACAAGAATTGACATTTGATAAAAAAAAAAAAAAGGACTTCGCCTCCTCATTTCAAAATACCACCGCACACCACTGAGAAATAAATATACCAGTGGTGTGTGGGGGGGTGCCCTTTTTTAGTTTCAGCACATGCCCCTCAAAAGGTCTGTGCACGGCCCTGCGTGCTGGCAAAATGAGTCGGAATGCGCACGGAAGGCCAATTTTGAGCTACATGCAAAACAAGTGGAAAATGTCGATTTTGGTCAAATTTGAGGTTTTCACAAAAATGAGGAGTCAATTAAGCCCTCCCCAATGCTCCAAATAGTATTTAAACATCTAAAATTATCTTTATTTGTATGTTTTTTGAGAGCAGTACCTTTTTCTCTGCTCTCTTCTTGCGCCGGTGCTGACAGACGTATGAATCACGCACATAAAGATCCCGATACATACACATACTGTATACACAGAATTACAGTATTTAGGCTATTCACGCAAACATAATCAGTTATGTCTGAAGTCAACGTTTGGGGAACTGTTGGGGAAAACATCTGATGTGTAACATTATATTAGATCCCTGAAATATTGTGATTATTAATGCAGTAATGATTATTAAGAAAAGACCTGGAGGAAAAGATGCAATGTTGCTAGGTTTTGCTTTGGAACCTTCAGAAAACTTTAACTTGATTTTTCTCGAAATGGATTTTGCTAACTTCATCGACTTCAAACAGGTGTTGCTGTTTTTCATTTTTTTTGTCCGATTCCAACAACTCATATATCATTATGAAGGTCTTTTAATGGAGAATGTAACAATAAAAATAACTAATTTTTGAAAATTGACTCTGAGACTTGCTGTACCTTGTGCTTGTCAATCAGATTGCTGACCAGGTCTTTTTCACCACAGACAGACACATCTTCAGCCAGCTGTGGCTCGGCTCTGTACAGCCAGTCATTAAGAGCCTGCAGAGCGTCAGTGAATCTGCCTGAAAACAGCAGAGCCTCTTCCAGCTTGTGTTTAGATCCCTGAAGTACAGTAAGTCTTAATATAGTCCGTCTGTCTCATTAATGTTAATCTAACGAGAAAAGAAGAGATCGCTGCTCTTGACTGAACTGCTTTTGTGGTTTTAATGAACAATTCATTTTATATTGAAGTGATTTTTATATTTGATTACTTGTTTTTCTTACTTGAATGCTTTTGTTTAGATGTAAAATGAAAAAGTAATGCACTAGGCCTATTTGTTTCTTATATTTGTTCTACTGTTTTGCATTAAAAGATAAAAGAAAAGAGTGAATCACTTGCTGCTCTTGATTGAACTGCTTTTGCAGTTTTAATAATCAATTTATTTGTAATGAACACACTGAAGTGATTTTTAAGTGATAAAATTTGTTTTTCTTACTTGAATGCTTTTGTTTAGATG